TCCTTAAAAAAATTTAGAGGATAGTCCCAAAAGCAATCTCAGAGATATGATCATATGGAGGTGATATATATATATATATATATATATATTTGAAAATCCATAAGCGCGGTGAAAATTAATTTTCAAAGACACACATATATCTCAATCATCGTTAATCGTTTATATATACATATATATAACCTGTGTATGAGGGACACATAATCGCAATATCAATTATACTATCAAGAAAATCCTAAATACAAAGGCCAGATGTTTTATAGAAGAGATCATCGATTACGTGATAAACCACACCAAAACGGCGTGGGCTTAAGTGCTCTTCATATTGGTGATATTTAGATTTAAAATTTCTAACTTATAATTTCTAAATAAAAAATTTAACAAAGTAATTACTATTATAAGATTATCTTTATATTAAAAGAATACATTATTAAAAATATAAAAAATTACATTAAATTTAGATCATCCAGAATACAATACCCACGAAAACAATCAAAACAACCGTTCGACAAAAGGATGGAACATCGCCACATAGGAAAACTAAATAGCAAAGAATCCACAAACAAAATGAACACACGAGTGCTAGAGTCTGAACTGAAAATCCAAAAAGCAAAGAATCAAACTGTGTAGGATTAAGGAGAAGAACCCCCCTCCCCCAAAAAAAAAAAGATAATATATAATGTTATACCTTTAGAATTTTCTGATGGCTCTTGACAATTCCCTTTTTCACAGTTTCGTTTGGCTCTTTAGATTTCTTTATGTGAGGTTTATTTCTCTTTTATATATGCTTTTATGACCTCTGTTTATAGATATTCTAGAACTATATTTTTTATAATTGAATCCGGAAAACTGGTTCAGAAAATCTTAGACCACAGATTATCCAAATCTTTTTATATATTATTCCTTTAATTTTGTTAACAAGAATATATAGGAAGATCATGCAAACCTTGATATCATTTTATTATCATTATTGTTTATCCCTCCAATCTAGCTTCTGAATAAAGATATGGAGATAAGATATATGTGTCTTAAAATATACATTTAATCTTTTAACTTTATATAAAATTTTATTTTAATCCTTTAATCTTATAAAGTATATTTTCAATTCTTTAATTCTAACATCACTAATTTCATCATAAAAAATTTTTACATTAAACTTTTAAATATTAATAAGATGTTATCAAATGTGTTGACTTATTAAGTTTAATTTATTTTTAAAAATAACAGTAATAGATATAAAAAATAATCATTTAAAATTAAGTTAAAAGACTAAAAATATATTTTAATCTCTGTATATGTATATATAATTTAAAATCCACAAGCGGAAAAATAATTTTCAAAGACAGCCCCCTAATTTGGTATATTTATTTTTCATTTAAAACTCGACAATCCCTGAAGATATCTGACTCTCCCTGACTCCCTCTCTTTTGTTTCATCACTTTTTGACTTTTTTATTTATATTTATGTTTATGTTAGTGTTATTACTAATTTTTATTATTGTTTCACCCTCGTTTCAAATTATTTGGATAAAAATACATGATGTTCACATGGTTGCCATGATTTTTTTCTTAACGCGCATTAAAAAATTCCTAGATATTTTGAAGTTAAAATCATAAGTGAAAAATATCTTGAAATAATTTAACAAATCAAGTACAAGAAATCTTTTCTTCACAGGGAGAATGACAAGCAACCTTAAAAATAAAAAAATAAAAATTTGATCTGGTACAATATGATAATACCTTTTAAATCTCAAAATTTATTAAAGTTTTTGATGAAATAAAAAAAATGCTTCTTAATTTAAAAGAATGCAACAAAGTTTATTTTATTTACAACTCTAATTCAACAAATGATCAAAGTAGTTTAGGTATTTACAAACTTTTTGTATTATTTTTTTCACTTTTTTAAAATTGAGGAGTATTTTTCCATTAAGTTTAGAAGGCATTATCACATTTTAGGAAACTAAATTGTCATTTTTTTTATTTCAGATGAATTTTTTTAATGAAACAAAAAGAGACTTCAGATAATAGAATGCAGATACAATTGCATTTACAATTACGAAACAAAATTGTAATGCAAGATATTTCTTATTTGTTATCTATTAGAGACAAGTTTTAGTAACAAAATGCAGAAATTCTTAATCCTGATAAACTCCCCAGCGCAATTATCTTTTTTTTTTTGTAAATTAAATTGTTAGTAACTTAAAATTTTTAAAACTTCAAATTATATTCTTATAATTTATTTTTTAAAATTTAATTTATATTTTTAATTTTTTTTATTATTATTCTCTTATTAAAGATAGATGTGTCAATTAAAGCCGGCCCGACCCTAAAGGATTGGCCCTTCAAAGGTCAGGGCTTAAACAAGCTGACTCATTTAAACTCAATTATATTTCAGGGCTTTATTTTTAATAACTCAGCCCTAATCTTTAGGACTGAAGGGCTAGCCCTCAAAGCTTCGGCCCTAATTATTTTTTTAATTTTTTAATTTAAAAATTTTAAAAATATATTTAAAAACCTAACAAAGTTATTACACATCACATTAAGTTTAAAAAAATAAAATAAAATTAATTCACACAATAAAAATTTTAAGTCTGATAAAAAAATAACATCCTAAAATTAACTTCGACATCAATTACACATTAGTAGCATTATCAGCTAAATTTTGATTATTTTCATTATCATCAACATAATATGACTTGATCCTCATCAATGGCATATGTTAAGCTTTTCATGTCTTCCTTCTTCATCCTCATTATTTGCAATAAATAATAAACTAAAATCATAATTTCAAGGTATTTAAAGAATGCAAAAATATTAAAAATAAGCAAATAATAATATGTGTGTCTACTGTCTGAATTAGAGAGTGAGTGTTGAGTTTAAGTGATGTAGTGTCTTCTTTTTATTTTTTTATATTTTTTTAAAAAAATATATTGGGGCTTAAAAGGACCGGCACTTTTATTTTCAAACTTAAAAGGACCAGTCCTTTTAAACTCAATTTACCATTTTAAAAACCAAAATAGCAGCTCGATTCTCAATTTTTTTGGGCTTAAAAGGGCTAGCCCTAAGGACTTAGCCCTAATTGACAGCTCTAATTAAAGATAATCTTATTTTATATCCAATAGAAATTTGTACATTGGTTTGCCATCTTGTTGAGAAAACCCCTATTGATTTTTATTTTTACATTTTATGATATAATGTTAACATATTTTTAAAATTTATGTTGCTTTAAAATTAGCTAGTAATTTTTGTTTTGATTTAGAGTAGTAAGCAACAAAGATTTGACTATATAAGCAAGATTAAACTCGCAATTTTCCACTTAATAGAGAGCTCTCATGCCTAACATACAAGATTGAAAAAATTAAAATAGCTATTTAATTATTTTCACTTGTCCTTTGTTAAAAAAATAAGGAAAAACACAATTATCAATTCTTATAATTTTACCAGATTTTGTTCTTAGTCTTTATAATTTTATCCTATGTTTTCAGTCCTTATGATTCCTTACTGAGTAATATTTGTTACCTACGTCCCTATAATGTTAGTGTTTTTTTGAAAAAGATACAATGACCAAAAGCAACCTAATAAAACTATATAGATTAATAATTATATTTTTTAAAAAAATAACTTTATTAGAATCTTTTATGCTCTCTCCTTCCCTTCCTTTTGAATGAGTGGATTAACATTTCCACACGTTGTATGAGTCTAAGATCTAGTCTTTTTTAAAAAATAAAGATGCGAGATAAGATGAGAAGAAGAAAAGTAAAAAGAGAGAGGATCCGAACCGCAAATGATGGGGCATCGATACGATTAGGAAAACCAAAAAAAAAAAAAGGCCTCTCAAGGAAGAGAAAGAAAACGCAAACCCAAAAGCTCCCAAGGGAAACTCCGGGTGACGTAGAACAAGAGAGATAATACCAATGTTGTGAGGCCTTAAACTTCCACAGTCTTAATAATCGGCAAGAGTTACATACTTAAATTTATATACTTAATATATTTATATTTAATTAAATTATGACATGTAAATTTTAATATATTAGTTTAATAATAATAAAAATTAATGGTAGAATAAATAATTTATAAAAAATTCATATGTCATTATTTAATTGAATACAAATATCTTAAGTATATAATGTTAAGTATATAATTTTCTCCATCAAGCTATTTGCACGACATGATATGACATTAGGTCCCGTTTGGTTCCGTGAATGTATTTGATTTTCGTGTTAATTATGCTCCATACTGGTCTCTTATGTCAAAATACCACTCGTTTAATGTACGAAGGGCAGTTCTTCCGTCAAATCATACGTCGTGTTCACAATATAATTAGAGATTAAATTATAGATAATATAAATTAAATATTTTGTAATTTATGAATTTCTTTTATCTTTTTAAAATTAAATATTTTATAATTTATGAATTTATTTTATATTTTTATTTATCAATATATTTTATATTTTTAATCTACTTCTTAAAAAAAATTGTTTCGAAAGTTTAAATTGTAAATAAAATATTTAAATTTTAAATATAACTCTCAGTTTATAATTAAAATTTTTGTTTACAATTATCTGAATTAATAGTAGCAATTAATTTTTTAACAAATTTTATCTCTTCGAGACTTTACCATCATTCTTTTTAAAAAGTGGGTGTAATGGAATAATTTCCCAAAAAAAAAAAAACAAGACCAAGAACAAAAGAGAGGAGGCACGGAGTTATTCAAAACTTCTAAATGGGTAAAAACTCACAATAAGAAAACTTTCACTTATATTCAAATTTAGTTTAAACTTTAAGCTATAATCTTAAACATCAGATGGTCTAGAAAAAAATGATAAAACTTCAGAGAAATCAAATATAAAAATTAAGATACAAAGGGGAAGTCAAATATTCAATCTTTATTGAGAGATGATAGCAATGTATAGATTATTCAAATTACAAAACTTAATTAAGATGCCTATCGGTAAAAATAACACAAAAATAATGGATACAAGAATGATATCATGTGTGTGTGTGTGTGTGTGTGTCCATCAAGCTAGATATTTATAGGTGTTAGAATCATCCTCGTCCCTTTCAAGATAGTCCCGAAGGATGAGATCTTCAATCCTCTTCTTGATTGCTTTCAAATCAGGCTTGAACATGCGACTCAAAAACTCAACACATTCCAAAACTAATTGTTGATGTCCCAAAACTTTCCTGCTCTTCATAATCCTAACAATCGCAGCATCAATCAAATATTTTCGGTCTTTGTTAACATCTTCCATCACCTTCTTCCTCTCATCAATTATTGGCGGAATAGGGATCCTGATCCTCCTCTTTCGATCTGTAAATCTCGAGTTGAACTCAAAGCTGTCATTTTGAGATATGGTTTTCGTGTTTGGCTCCTTAGAAAGTATCTTATACTTTGCACATGACAAGGAATGGAGTGCGCGAACCAGATCTTCGTGGCCTAGGTCTAACTGAGTCATGATCTCTGAGTAACTCAATCTATCTGTGCTGTTGAATAGTAGAAGAGCAGCAGCTTGATAAGTTGAGACTATGAGTTCAATGGCTTTCTGTTGAAATTTTCCATTGATGTTGCAAGTTCCCATGGAGAAAACCCATGAGAGTTTCCTGTGCTTTGTTTTTGTTTCATAAAACCCTTTGAAAACTTCCACACACTTGACCATCTCTGAAGGAAGATTCAACCCAAAAGACTTGTAACTAGGCCAAAAACCAGTGGTGAGAACAGTCACTGACAAGTCAATCCCAGTGTTCATGTTTGGATTCTCAGCAAGATATTCCTCATAGCTGGTTTGATTATCCTTAGCTATGGCCAAATCTGTGATCATCCCCTCCATCTTTGAAGTGTACTGTGTTCCAAATTGCTGCTTCAACTTTGAGAGAATATTCTTTTCATGATCCTCATTGGCGCTCCGGTCGTGAAGTAGCCGCCGAGCCAGCTTTTTCCGGTAAAACTCGGCAAACAGATCCTTATCAGTGTTATATACAAGAAGCTTGACAACCTTCTCTAGGGTTCTTTCTATTTCCTCGTCGCTAAGCTTCTCACTTTCACCACCTTTCTTAAGAACATTGTCACAGAACGTGGCAAGAAGTTCTGCACTTGGAATGCCAGCAACACTCTTATTACAGAACACTTCAAAGGCTTCTTTCATAGCCTTGTGGAAAGTAGTGTTATTCATGAAGCAACCCTTAACAAAGGACAAATACTTCTCATGAAGCTCAATGAATTTTATCACAATCACTTGTTCCTGAGCCCCAGATGAGCCATTATTACTTGCTGTAATATTCTGACTTCTAGAAGAAGCTTCCTCTTCAGCTTGTCGCACTAATGTTGTACCCTCATGGGTAACATGCTGCTTGAATGTACAAGCAACAGGTTCCAAACCTCTAGTTATTTCATGGTACAGTCTATAAATTCTAGAAAGATCTTCAACTTTATCATCTTTGAGCAACGCATGACAGCCAGAGTTTTCCTTCTCAAGCAACTGAGTTGCGTGCGTGACAAGCAACTCTTTTTGAACTGTCTCTACTAATTTCTTCTCTGTGATAGAGTGCAAATACTTAGCCTCGCCCACTACTCTATCTCTTTCCCTCTTCAATGATTCCTCAGCCTTGAGCATATACTCAGGGCAAGAGTCACCGGCGATCCAATTGGCCGCTTTGATTCTGTAGTAAGTAGATGTATCTTCAAGCAGCCGCAGTTCAAAATCCTGCTTGTAACAATCCAATTCATCCGTACCAAGGGCAACGTAGATATCAAGAACATTCCTCAACAAAGATCCATCAATTTGCTCTCCCTCGCGTTCTTTATCGATTAGAGAGATCATAGCGTCTGTGGCTTGAGCCTTCACCTTCATGAAGACCAAATCACGGAATCTGTCAAGTCCAACTGTATAGAGCAAAGGTAAAGAGTGTCGAGCAATAAAGTAACGTTCAAGATAATGGAAGTAGCGCAAAAGATATTTGATAAATTTTTTGTGGTTTTCCCATCTTATGACGAGCTCTCTGAGTAAGAATTCTTGGTGCTTGTTTCTTAAGGATGGCAACAAAGTAGATTTGATGTAGCCTTCGACTGTTATGATGTATCTATCATAAAGCTGTTTAGTGTATTCAAATGGTGGCTTTTGAATACACATGTTATAGATTGTAGTGTATAGCAACATGTGTTTTTCTGAACTCAAAGGCTCTTCTGATAAGCCTTCAATGACGTTCTTCAGCTGATCGATCCCTTCCTGCACATGTTTCCATCCTTCTTCGAGCTTAATGGGTTTCCGATCCATTCCTAGCAATGCAAAATCTGATCATCATGATTTTCAGCTCAAGAGATAAGTATACATATTATCATATTTGTTTTATTTGCAAGTACAATTAATAAAAATACCAAGACGTCATTTTTTATGATGATAAATAATATAAGCCATATAGATCTCATACCTTCAAAATTTTCCGTTGCCTTTTCAATTGATTCGCCTTTCACAAATTCCTTTGACTCTTTGGATTTCTAGCAATACAAAATTTGGTCGTCAGGTTTTCGAGTTCAAAAGATAAGTATATATATATATATATTATATTTTTTTTTTGTTAATTGCAAACAGATACTAAAAATCCCAAGACATGCATATCGCTTTTACAAAGACAGATAGGCCCCCACACACCCACATCAATCATTGTTAATGGTTTGTATGGTTTGTATGTATGTATGTATGTATAACGTGAATGGGGGACACACAAAATCGTAATACCAATTATACTATTAAGTAAATAATCCTAATTATAGGGGCCAAAACATAAGTTGTTCGGTTCACTGTAGTTCGAGTGAATCTAACAAAATCTCAAGTATGACACATGTCTCTTCCATATATAACAGAAAATAAAATTCCTGATTTTTTTTATTTTAATACAAATTGACAAGTTTATGATTAAATAATTGTCATGGAGATTTAAAAAAAAAAAACGGCATGCTTTTTATTTATTTATCTTTTGGGGTGGGGGAAGAAACCAGTGTAACATGTTCTTAACATCAAACCTAGCTAGTCTTCTAAATTTTATTATTTTTCAAAACAATTTGTATTTCCATACAATATATGTGGAAGAAACCAAAGCCATTGAAAACAATATTAGTAAAAGAGATCATCGATCAAGTGACAAATCACACCAAAACAGCATGGCCTTAAGTGATCTTGAGTGACATCTAGAGACATCCAAACCTAATGCAAATTTAATATTTTTAACTTATATTTTTATGTAAAAGAAAAATAGCAAAGTAACTATTATAAGATTGTCTTTAAATTAAAATAATAATTTATTAAAATATAAAAAAATCATATTAAATATGAATCGTCCAGAACCCACTGATATCCACAGCAGAAACAATGAAAACAAACATTCAACTGAAAGATGGAACATGATGACCACAAATAAGGTAAAGAGAAAATAGAATACATGAGTGTTAAGAGTCCAGATTGAAAATCCAAATAGCAAATAACAATAATGAAACACTGCAGCATTAAGGAGAAGAACCAAAAAATTAAGATGATAATCTTATACTTTTAGAATTTTCTATTGTTTCTTGACAATTCATTTTTCACAATTTCCTTTGGCCCTTTGGATTTCTCTGTGCGAGGTTTAGTTCTCTCTTATATATGCTTTCCTGACCTCTATTTATAGATAATCTAGAACTATATTTTTTTACTTGAATAAGCAAAAGAGGTTCAGAAAATCTTAGACGATAGATTATTCAAATCTTCTTAGATATTATTTCTTTTTTTTTTTAACATAAATAGGAGATAATGACCTTGATATCTTTTTATTATCATTATTATTTATCCCCTCAATCTTCTTAAACAATTTTAGAGGACAATCACCAAAACAATCTCATACGCGCGCGAGCGCGTATGCACGAACAATATAAAATCCACAAGCGGTGAAAATAAATTTTCAAAGATAGCCCCTAATTTGGTATTTTTATTTCTCATTTAAAGCTGGAAAATCCCGATATCTGACTCGCCCTTTATTTTGTTTCATCACTTTTTGATTATTATTTTTTTGGTGAAACCTCACTTTTGATTTAGTATTATTTTTAATTTTTATTATTGTTTTACCCTCTATTCAAATTATTTGGATAAAAATATATGATGTTCACACGGTTGCCATGATATTTTTTTAACGCGTTTAAAAATTCTAGATATTTTGAAGTTAAAATCAAAAGTGAAAAATATCTTGAAATAATTTAACAAAAAAATACAGGAAATTTTTTTCAAAACAAATCCAAAAATTATTTTTTAATGAAATAAAGAGATGGAACATGACCACAAATAAAAAAAATACATGAATGATAGAGTTTGAATTAAAAATTGGGTTAATATGCAAAGGCAATTTGAATTCTAAACTCCTATTTAATACATTATGAAACCAAAACTATTAAATTAGGATTCAAATCGCTCTTGAATAAATAATTCAGAGTTCAAATTATATATTAACTCTTAGAAATTCAAATAGCAAAAATTGAAACTGTGCAGGATTAAGAAAAAGAAAGAAGAAGGAAAACACTAATCTGGTAATCTTATACTTAGAGAATTTTCTGTTACCTCTTGACAATTCTCTTTTCACACAATCAAACTTCTCTTTTCATAAGGCCTTGAATGAGGGACATAAAATTGCAATATCAATTATAATATTAAGAACATCCGAAATATCAGGGACCGAATATGTAGGTTAAATAAATCCAACAAAACCATCAAGTATAACATGTCTCTTTCATATACTCTAGAAAATATTAATTTGAAATTCTTCAAAAATTTAGTACAATACAAATTGGCAACTTCATGATTAAATAATTGTTATGCGGATAAAAAATTTTAAAAAACGTGTACTTTTTCTTGGGACGGTGGTAACCAGGGTGACTTTTTCTTAGCATCAAATCTAGTATTCTAAATTGTTCCTAAAAATATGTAGTCATCTAAGTTTTATGATTTTCCCAAACAGTTTGAAAGATAAGTAAGAAATCTACACCTTCGTCAACAAGGTTAATAGAAGAGACGATAATTTGAGAAACCATAAAGACATCCAAAACTGGTAGATTTAACATTTTAATTTACAATTCTGTATAAAAAAGTTAGCAAATTAACTGTTATAAAATTATATTTATATAAAATATAATTTATCAAAGTATATTAAATTTGGATCATGCCGAACACTTGATACTCACAGAAACAATCAAAACATACATTCAACAAGAAGATGGAACATGACCACAAAGAAAAGCTGAAGAGAAAAGAGTATAATAAGTGATAAAGTAAAAAAAAACTAAATAGCAAAGACTGAAATCATGCAAAATAAAGGAAAAGAAAGAAGAACAAGAAAAAATAAAATAAAATGATTATGTTATACCTTCACAATTTTCTGTCGCCTCTTCATAATTCACTTTTCACAATTTCGTTTAGCTTGTTAAATTGCTCTAAGGGTTATTTTCTCTTACTTATGATTTCCTGACCTCTATTTATAGATAATAGTCTTGAGCTATGTGTTTTTTTTTTTTAATTTGAATCATGAAAAGAGGTTTAGAAAATCTTAGACGACAGATTGAATAAATCTCTTTTAGATATTTTTTTTCTTTAATTTGTTAGCAAAAATAGGGAGATCCTACCATCCTTGATATCTTTTTATTATCGTTATTGTTTATCCCTTCAATCCCGTTAAACAAATTTTAGAGGATAATCCCAAAAAAAATCTCATTGATATAGAGATAAGATATATATATATATATATATATATATGTTTAAATCTATAAGCGGTGAAAATAATTCTCAAAGACAGCCCCCTAATTTGGTATATTTAATTTTTCATTTCGTTACACTTTTTTTTTTTTTTTTATTTATATTTATATTTTTTAGAGTTATTTTTTTTATTTTTGGTTTACCCCCTACTTTAATTATTTGGATAAAAATATATGTTCACACGGTTGCCATGATTTTTTTAACACATTAAAAATTCCTAGATATTTTGAAGTTAAAATCAAAAGTAAAAAATATCTTCAAATAATTTAAAAAAAACAAAAACAAGATATTTGTTTATAAAATCAATGAAATACGTGGTTGTTTTGCATCCAATCAAAGTGATGATCGTACAGTTTGACTTCTGTCTTTTTTAAAAAATATTTTGTTTTTAAAAAATAAAAATTCAATGATTTTTTAATATAAATGCTTTTAAGACTATTTTTATTTTAAAAAAACAAAAAATAGAAACACATTATAAGTATTTTCTTTTCATTTTTAATTATCATAATCAAATATATTTTCATTTTTTTTGAAAAATATTTTAAAATTAATGTACAAAATAATTTTTAAAAATAAAAAATAAACAAAATCAAACTAATCCAAAATATAATTCTATGATTATATCTCTGTTTTTTTTTTTTTTTTTTTGGGAATGTTCGGATTGGAATTGATGATGGAAGAGAAAAAAGAGATTTAGATTGAAGTTTGGGCAGAAAGAAAGACGGTGATGAGTAGCATAGTGAGATATGGAGGAGAAAGTGGGGCGGTCGGATGGTGGGTCAGAGTCACATCCAATGGCTCAGCTAATAAAGTAGGCACAGAAGAAGAATGAAGTGAAGCATGATAACACTATTAATTTCCTGCAAACGATTGAACAGACTTCTATTGTTGGCGGAAAAAAAAAAATTATTAATATATATATTTGATCTCCCCCCCCCCCCCCTCAAAAAAAAAAAAGCATGATAATGCATAGAGATATTGAAGTTGGGTTGATATAAATTTGAAGATGATCCAAGTTCGCACGTAGCCGAGTCTTAAACGGCATCCATGGTCGCCGAGAATAGCTTCTCATATTGTGATCGATTGGGAATCGATTTTGTTTTAATCAGTTTCCTATTTAGTCTGATAATTTGAATAACACCTGTTGATATCCATGAATTTGTCATGATTAAGTTTTGTTCTAGTTAATTACTTGGGAAAATATAATTATTGATTACTATAGTTTTGTTGTATTTTTGTTATTAATTCCTGCATGTTTTGTGGTTCCAAATCTACAGTTTTTTTTTTTGGTATTTAATGTTAGTTTCTATATTTAAATATGCCCATAGCGATAATGATGTAGCACTAATGATATTAAATTACTTATGCATGTAACTAATATCATTTCACTCAAAGCTGATAATTTGAGCAGACTCGATACATTTAAAACAGACTCAATTAATGTGAAGCCTTTCTATAGCCAAAATTTATAGGAAAGCTCAAATAGCAAGCCCAACCTAAATATTTTTTGGTTTGGGTTTAGTTTATTCATCCGCCTGAGTGCTTAAATTATTAACTATTTTTTATTTTTTTAAATTAATTTAACTAATTTTTTACTTTAAATTAATTATTTTTATTTTATAAAAGATATATAGTATATTTTTTGGGAAACTCAAACTTTTTATCACAAAATGAGACTTAAAATTTAAAATTCAATATTAAAATATATTTTAAATATTATTTTGAGATATTTTATAATTAAAAATATGACAATATAATATTTTTATTTTTAAAAAAATATTTATAATAATATATTCAAATATATGGTATTTTAATATAAAATAACCTAGCTTAAAAAATTAATTAATGCTTAAATGTTTTATATATTTTAAAATGTACTTTTTTATTGTTCGAACCTGTATATTAAAAATTATTATTTTACTTGCTGAGTTTAATTTTCTTAAAACTTATTTGGACTGGTCCATTGAACTTGACCTCTATTACTTATTCTAATTTCATTACACATTAAACAAAGATTAGGTTTTTTTTGTTCATTTTTCAAACTTTAAACTCATCTCTTTGCCTCTCCTTTGGGTTCGTTCGTCGTACCAAGTTTTTCTCCCCTCCTAATTTTATAGCAATTGATTGTTATTTTTTATTAATGCATTTTTTTTTGTTTTCGTGCAGTTAAATTCTTCAATTTCTTTCGGTTGATTTTCGTTACTCTATATCAGTAATTGCTTTGTCTATTTTTTTTTCTTATTTCAATATTTATTCCATCTAATACCTTTAGTCACACATCAAATAATTTAATATTATTAGTATCACATCATCATCTCTCTATGTATATTTAAAAATATAAGGATTAATATGCAGACGAAAAAAATTATAAATTCTAATAAAATAAAATTATAGAAACTAATAATTATTTTTTTTATTTCTAGCATATATTGTTTTGGCTTGAAGATTGGGTAATTTCCTTTCTTATGATGTAATAATGACGCCATTATCTTTGAGTTCTGAGTATTTAGTGATAATAGACTTTTCGAATGTGATACCTCTGCGTGCTATTTATAGGCGAACAATATTATACATTGGTTGAGGAATATTTTTAAAATAATAAAATAAGAGGGAGTTTGTGATTATATTGAATAAGAAATTTAGTATTTTCTTTGTGAGTGTGTTCATCTAGAATGCAAATTTGACTTATCAAGAGATTCCATTACCTCTCGTGACGTTTGTGGTTGGTGTTTTTAAGGAATTGGAATTTCTTAATGTTTTAATTATATAAATTCATGTGGGTGTATATTCCTCTTTCTCTACAATATAAAGGGAGAAAAATGTGATATTAAAACCAACAAAATCTAATTCAAATGGGAAGAAGTATGATCAATCACGTACATTCATTTCAAGTTCGAGTCCATGTATGAATACACAAAACGTTTTGTTAAATTGGGTAATAAATCTTAATTAAATATAATAATATTTAATTAATACGATACGATTACGTGAGATATCATGCAACTACTAACAAAAAATAATATTTCATTTTTAAATATAAAAAATCATTTTGATTAGGATATTAATTGATCTGTAAAGAAGTCAGACGAAAAATAATCGTCAACCAGGGCATGGCCAGTGTTCAACTTCAACTTCAACCAGACTGGTACGCATCATCGCATCCTCCATCATTAATTATATGCTACTGTATATTTTAATAGAATTTAAATTCTCTAAAATTAAGATCTCTAAATTTGGTTAAATTTGTCTTTTTAATAAAAAATGAAAAATTTTTTTTATAGAAATTCAACTTCGAACAATTTAAATCTTATTTATGTCTTGACTTTTTAACATGCTTCCTTTCCCCTTCTCTCTTCTCGCCTACATTTAGCTTCCCTTCCACTTGTGTCACTTCGTTGCGCCTTCTTTCATGTGTGTGGTCAATTCATTTTTTTTATTTTTTAAATTATTTTTTTAGAGCAATAGGCTTTATTCGAAACCATTAAACAATATAATATCACAAAAACATTTCACAACGTTGCAATATGACCCATATTAATATATCGTTAGTAGACACATGTTGCAATTCATAAACATTTTTTTATCAAGCAAATTGTTTTAGTTGTCAAAGTTTGAGGCTTTGTTATAACATAACTCCAGATTCAAGGAGTTATATTCACAAACAGGCAATAGCCTATTAACAATGTCCTGACATCGATTATGAAATTTGAACTGATGATCTTACTAAAAAAGTCAACCCTTGTTAACGTTAGGACTATATTGGTATGTTTTGAAATTGTGAAGGAGTGAAGCGTGATGGGAACCTCAAATCAACCCTTCCTTGTACAGACTTGCAAATGGTCGGTCGCTGTGCCCTGTCATCCTCTTATATTAATTCCTTATTTTTCTCTCTCATTCTATGCTTTTGAGACTAGAATCTTCTAGTGATTTAAAAATAATTAAATGCGTCTTATCATTCACTACTTGATAAAGACTCACGCACTTCTCCTTCTGTTTTAATTTATATTTCTATAATTATCCATTCTTTTCCGCTTCTTCATCATTATTCCACCCCCCCCCCCCGGGGGGGCCCTTTTTATTTTGACGCCCGGTGTCTTAAAAAATCTGGCATGTCGTTTCGAATATTCTGGATCAATAACAGTTTCACAAGTAGCTCAAAAGTGTACATATCCTTTTGGTTTAATGCAATACGTTATATTTGAATTCAAACTTCAGATTTCAGGATAAAGTAATGGGGGAATGGCGATTAGATTTTAAAAGATTGAATAGATGACAGTTGGTTGTTGACAACATTTCATAAAAAATAAATTGTGGTTATCAATTCAAAAAGTTACAAATATAAATTCTGATTATAATATAAGAGTTACATTTAATACTTAAATACTTATTTATAATTAAAACTTTTGGGTTTGTAATTTCTTAAAATGATATTTTTAATTTATTTTTTAAAAAATTTATCAAAGCTTAACTGTTATTAATTTAATATCTTGATACATAACTATCATTTTTTTTAAAATTAATTTCACTCTCCAGCTAAACCAAATGTCCTTCATCTTTCGTCATGATCCCAAGGGACGAATTTACGTTGAAGAGAAAGGGGCAGTTACCCCACTAACATCATTAGCACCTCTTAGTTATAGGGTGGGGGAAATTATCACTTGCCTCCTTCAAAAA